TTCCTCTTTTTCTCTGACCCTTCTCCTTGCCAATCATGATATCCTTCTCTAGTGACTGATCCCTCCTGACAATATGTCCAAAGTATGAGAGATAAAATTTGACCATCTTGTCCTCCAAGGAACACTCTGCATGCACTTCTTCTAAAACGGATCGATTGGTTCTTTTGGCAGCCCACAGCACTTTCAATATTCTCCTCCAACACCATCACTCAAAAGCATCCATTCTTGTATGATCTTCCATAGTCACTGTCCAGCTTTCTAATGCATTTGAGGTTATTGAAAACACCTTGGCTTGGGTTAGGCGCACCTTATTCCTCACACTGTAGTCACAAGTAATTATGCATCTTGAATTCATTCTTGTTCCATTTCAGAGTGAAGAAGTTGTTAGAGTTCTTCAGTTATTTTGTCATTGGTTTTAGTGGTTCCTGATTAAATTTGAAAATTGTTGTATTAACTGATTTTCTGAGTATGTGCATGAATACTACTCTATCACCAATAGCATTGTGTTTCAAAATAGATGTTGAAATGGTCTTTTTGACAATGAATGCTATAACATTCTTCTTTGATTTGTACAATTCAAAATGGCTGACACCAGTCCATTTCAAGTCTCTAATGCCCAGGTTTTTATATGTCTTTATTGGTCTTTATGCATTCCATTTTAATTTTGATGATTTCCAATTTTCTTAGGCTCATACTTCGTACATTCCATGTAATGATTATTAATGGATGCTTGCAGCTGCTTATTACCATGTTGGGTTGTGCCCCATCAATGAGTAGTTCCTAAAAGGTTTGCATTATCTACTTTATTATGATAAGTTCTATTTTGAGGAAGCAACCCTTTACCAGTACTATTTTGAGTGACTTCAACCCAATGGGCCTTCTGATAACACTTTATGAAATAATATCTTACTGTAACTAATTAGATTTTCAATATCTAACTGTTCAGGAATGTTCCCTTTCTATTTTGTCCACATATATCTTAGTTTGGCAAGCCTGATGAAATCTATCCAACATTGGTGACCCTGATGGTTTTAAAATAACTTTCATCATCAGAGAAGCATATAACCCACCAAAATTAAAAAGAAAACTGTCAAAAGATCACTGGTTTTTATTTCTACTCAACAAATACTGAGAGATGCCCTGAATATACTTGGCTATTTTGATAGCCTGTGTATTAAGCAGTAAGTGAGAAATATCTATTCTTGAACTATATTTCTAGACTCTCTTCATAGATTCTTAGCCTCTCATTCAATGTGTTTCTCTCTAGTTTTGTATCTATTAATAAGAATATTCAAAGGCTTGACAAAATAACTTATTTCTATAAGAACTGCTTATGAGAGGGGTATATATCACTCTGAGGGCATCTCAAATTATTGGTTACATATCAAATGTATGGATCTATTCCAAATTAAATTTGTATTACTATAACTTTTGCGTTTACTTGCTATCCTTCAAATAACCTCTCTTAAAATGATACCCATTTCCTTTCACATTTTTTCTTGCTGATCAATAATTGGTTTAAATATCTGCTAGTTAAACCCAAACTGTGTATCATTTTCTCTCATACAACAATTTTATTCCACGAGCTCTAGTAATATAGTGGTTATAAGTTGGGCTGATAACCTTAAGGTCAGCAGTGTAAAACTACCAGCTCTCTCACAGAAGAAAGATGAGACTTTCTGCCTCTATAAATATTTATAACCTTGGAAATTGTATATAAGGTCGCTATGAGTCAGAACAAATTTCCTACCACATAGCCAACCTACCAACCAAATCTTTATAAGAGGCTAGTGCATGAAATTTTCAGGTTTCTCTAAGTTTTACAAAATAAATATTCATGTGATTTTAGTACAGGACCAGGCAGTGTTTCTTTCTGTTGTGCATGATTTCACTATAAGTTGCTTTAGAATGGATGACACCTAACAACAACAACAACAAATTATCTTAATAAAATAGAATTCTCTTTGTAGTTAACAATTTTTTCTACTTATTATTATGTTGCAGATATATTGTATTCATAGTCATACATAAAAGTGAAGCTCTATACAGTCAATGTCCTTGGAAACATTTAAAAGTACTTCTCTTGTTAAGTTTAGCAACAAATATTTTTGAAGTTTTATTCTTAAAAAGTAGATTTCCAATCTAACTAATCTCAAGGGTATAGCCAAATAATGTTTATGAATCAGGAGACAGGACGAGTCGGCCTCTGTGAAAACACAATCATTACTTCCCAAGAGCTTTGCAGAGGTATGACCTATATATGTTCTTCCTAATGAAAAAATATGTTTATAAAGAATCCAGAAGTAGACTCATTGATATGCTAAGCATATTGAAGAGGCTGGCTCATGGAATTTTTAGGTCTTTTTAAGTTGTACAAAATAAATAATCATATTAGGTAAGATAAGCTTGTTCCCTCATTTTTCAGGTATTATTGTATATTTTAGCTTATGTGTTCCTTTAAAGTTACTAATGAATAATTCACTGAACAAGAGATGTATGTCAAGAATATAGGCATACATCAAATGTCTGACCCATATGTGAAATTTATGCTAAAAAATAGGTTGAATGCTTTAATTCTAATATTTATTTTGAGCTGCTATGAGTCAGGGACTTAATAGTAACCACAGTTTTACAAAAAGAGCACTAAAATGCCATACAAATATAACCAGTATAAGCAGAATAGCATTATTATTTTTTACAAATTATATAATATAGTGACAAAATTATCAAGTGTTTTGTGATAACAAATGGATTGTGTTTAAATAAAATATCAAAAATGTAAATTTAACATTTCAAAACCATGTATTCCAAAACCAAAAATTAAGTAGCATTGGAATTAGGATGCCTAAATATTTAAGTTTAGAAATGAAATTTTAATCACAATTTCATAATTCAAGATATGCACAAGTAAATAAATTAAATTAGATGAGTTATTATTTCCTGGGAAGGGTTTAACCAAAGTTACAGAAGTATGGAGGGGTGGAATCTGGACAGAATATTAGCTTTTCATTAAATATTGGAATGTATGTCTAACAGAAGGAAAGTTGCCTTATGAAGGAGCATTGTAAGATAAGATTTTTATTCTTAAGCACAAAGTACAAATGAGGAGGTAAGGAAAATTGGTCATAAGGGAACTCTGGATGCATACTACCAATGGGAAAATTATACAGATAGAATCTTTCTAAACTTTTATAGATGGTGTTTCAAAAGAGGAAATAAAATGACCATACATATGTAATATAGGTTATTGAAATGAAAGAGTGGTAAACCTTAGCCTATAGAGTCAATGAAGTTTAAAATGATTCTTAGGAGTAATTCAGAGCCATCCATTATCTTTGTCATAGATATTCTTTTCAAGGCATTTGTCTACAGGAGGACATTCATTGCCATCCTAATTCCCAATCACATGAAGAAAATCACTAGTAGTTGTGGAATGGTTAAACTGAGGCGCCTAACATTTTTAACTTGCAACAATTATAACTGTATTTTTGAGAATTTTGAAACAAGCATTGGTATGAAGGAAATTGGTAATTAAGAGCTCTGGTAGCATAGTGGTTACGAATCAGGCTGCAAACATCAGGGACAGCAATTTGAAACTACCAGCTGTTCTGCAAGAGAAAGAAGAGGCTTTATGCCCCTCGTAAAGATTTGCAGCCTCAGAAACCCTGTACAGGGTTATTATGAGTCAGAACCGACTCCAAGATAAATAACAACAACAAAAACAGCATAGATATTAATAAGTTATTTTATAGGTATAGTACAAATGTGGCACAATACCCTCAGCATTGTTTGTTCTTCATTTAACTTTTAATTCATTAATGGCTGAAATTTTCTTATACTATTCATGTTGGAAATTATGTCTAGGAACATTTAGGGGAAAAAAAAATCCAAACAAAAATAAATACACATTGACTTCACCTATCGTTATATGTCATAATGGTTGCAATTTATTTGTGGACATTCAGAAATTTTAAACTCTGTGTCTTAATCTAATTTTACCATTTTATCCTTTAACTCTAGGGAGATAGAAGCATATTAGCAAGCATGGGCAACGTCACTATCATCACAGAATTCCTACTCATGGATATTTCAAGCTCTTGGAAGCTCCAAGTCTTACAAGGTGTGCTGTTCTTAATAATTTATCTGGGAGCCCAGGCTGGAAATCTTCTGACTTTCTTAATCATTGTGACAGACCCACATCTTCACTTTCCTATGTACTTCTTTATAGCCAATTTGTCCTTCATAGATCTTTGCTCTATTTCAGCTATTGTTCCCAAATCAATTGTGAATTCCCTGACAGGTAGAAAATAAATCTCACTGAAAGAATGTGCTACTCAGATTTTTCTGTGTATTTTTTTTGCATGTACAGAAATTGCTTTTCTAGTGGTGATGTCTTATGACCGCTATATTGCCATCTGCCATCCCCTGCACTATGGGCTCACTGTCACCCCACAGGTGTGTGTACAGGCAGCAGGGGGCTCATGGGCCAGTGGACTGCTCTATTCTGCAATCCATACAGTCACCATGTTCAGGCTTCCCTTCACAAAGTCTAATGTGATTTATCAATATTTCTGTGATGTACCTCAAATTTTGAGGATAACATCTTCAGATGTTCAGTTTTCTGAATCTGTACTCCTTGCTGTAAGTTCTGGCATTATCTTAGCGTGTTTTGCCTTCCTGTTTATGTCATATATTAAAATATTTTCAAGTGTGCTTCAGATCCGTTCTGTGGAAGCCCGTAACAAAGCTTTATCTACTTGTACCCCACAGTTGGCTATTCTCTTTTTGTTTGTTATTTCTGCATTAATCGCTGTCCTAGGTCCTACTGCAAATAAAGCATCTCTTAAAAATCTTCTGACAGCCATGTTCTACACCATGCTGCCCCCACTTATAAACCCCCTCATCTATAGTCTACGGAACAGGGAAATTAACTTTGCTCTAGGCAGAATGTACAAAAAGTATTTTAGGTTCCCAAGCAGGGTGTTACTTAACTAAGATCTCTGAAACAATACAATTTGAAAGAAGTTTAATTTATATTGTTTATATGTTTTTAAATTTAAATCCCTAGATGTAAGATATAAGTATTTAATTATTTGTTTTTATTTTTGTAGCACACCCTTGTGATTATTAACTATATACCCTGTGCCTGAGATGTGGCTGGTGGCTTTAAATTGCCCACCTTGTGGTTCTAACTGAACTGTGGTCCAGTGTAGTATCCTTTAGTGTCACATAAATTTATTACTATTTATTATGTGTATATTAAATCTGCTAATTTTTCAATTCTGTTTCATAGGAAATTATTTTCAAGATGATTTCATACATGCCTAGTGAATTTTTATGTTTTAATGAATGTCTACCACACATAATATACTATTTCCTATATTTATCTGAAGGAGCTCTGGTAGCGTAGTGTGAGCCGCAAGGTCAGCAGTTCGAAACTACCAGCGTTCCGCGGGAGAAAGATGAGGCGGTCTGCTCCCGTAAAGATTTATAGCCTCGGAAACCCTGTGTAGGGTCGCAAACCCTGTGTAGGGTCGCTATGAGTCGAAATCGACTCCACGGCACATAACAACAACAACAACAACAATATTTATCTGAGGAGTCCTGGTGTGTTGCAGTAGGATATGCAATGAATTGCTAAGTAAAAGGTCACTTTTTCAAGCCCACCAACCCTTCCTACGAAACTAAACAAGATCAATATGAGCCTGAACCAACTTGTTGGTACTTAACAACAATAGTTCTCTTTGATCTGTGATTTACTTTTCATTTCTCATAGCAACATAAGGATGTAACACCATTTTTTATCTTTGGTATTAAAAAACT